CCTCTGCGTTCACTCGTAATACCTTTGCATTACCTCGCAATGCCTTACTGTTACCTCGCAATGCCTTACTGTTCCCTCGAAATACCTTAGTGTTCCCTCGAAATACCTTAGTGTTCCCTCACAATACTTTTGCGTTACCTCGCAATACTTTTGCGTTACCTCGCAATACCTTTGCGTTACCTCGCAATACCTTTGCGTTACCTCGCAATACCTTTGTGTTACCTTGTAATACCTTTGTGTTACCTCGCAATACTTTTGCTTTACCTCGCAATACATTTGCATTCCCTCACAATACCTTTGGGTTCCCTCGCAATACTTTTGCTTTACCTCACAATACATTTGCATTCCCTCACAATACCTTTGCGTTGCCTCGCAATACCTTTGCGTTGCCTCGCAATACCTTCGCGTTGCCTCGCAATACATTTGAGTTACCTTGCAATACTTTTGCGTTACCTCGCAATACTTTTGCGTTACCTCGCAATACTTTTGCGTTACCTCGCAATATTGTTTTGTGTTCCCACGCAAAAGTTTGATTTGTACATGAACTGCATTAAATCAGACTTGTATTTTGAAATATCTGGTTACCAAAACAGGATGTGTCACCACAAGTTCATGAAATTGACATTGATGTTGCGTGGCTTCACTGTGTTAAAATATTGGCATCTGACATACTTGCATGCGTGGCTGTGTGATATATTCATTCTGAAGCTGAATTAAAGCATTAGGCTAACTTGCTAATGGTAAACATGTGAGTTTGGTAACAAACCGGCAGGCACAACAGTGTTTAACGACTTTTGTGAGGGAACGCAAAAGGTATTGTGAGGTAACACAATACTTTTGCGTGGGAACGCAAAAAAAACATATCCCCCATGTCCCCTCATGTGCTCCATAGAGTCATTTTGTTCCCCTTCTAACAAGTTTGAGCTCAAGACCAACTCAGAAGACATTTCTTTCAAGCCCCAGTTCAGTAAGTGAGAGAAATAAGTTCCCTGTAGACATACCAATCAGGCTGTGGTCACTGCTCCAAAAAGAAACTGTAGAGTACACCAACAGTGTTTTTTTTTTTCTTTTTTTTTTCTGAGCATAGTACCCTTGGTCTTATTTTATGTGCTGCCTTGGCCAGTGATGATGCTTTGGAGGTAGGCCAGGGGTTTAGTGGGGGAAAAATGTGCTTTTTGCTCTCATTTACCACGGAGACATAACATTTAAGGGCATGTACCCTGTTAGCAGTGTAACTATACAGTAGCAGACAGAGCCTGTGGGAACTGCATCCAGCAGCAAAACCTTACAGCAGACAGTGTTGTTATGTTTGTTAACCCACAGAAACATACAGGTGTAATATGACTCAGAGAGACAAAGAAAAAGACATGGGAGCTAATAAGGTGTTTTATAACCAACATGAGCTGAAAATTAAAAAAAAAAATCTACTCACATGCAAACTGTAGTAGAGCATCTCGGCTCAGGAGAGTCCCAAAACTGTTCTCGGTTTGACACTGATACTTTCCATAGTCTGTGATCTCACTTGCATTTGTAATAATTAGGTCTCCGTCGATGAAGCTGTAGCGGTAGTCTGTCTTTGAGTCTACTTTAGTTCCATTGATGTACCAACTGGAAAACAGAAGAAGCATTTTTGTTTTTTAATAATATGCTTGTGATGATGAATACTAATCTAATGAGATGGTGGAAACAGATGCTTGAACGTCTCACCTGTACGTGGGTGGTGGGTTTCCCCGTGCCTCACAATGCAACATCACTTTCTTTTCATCGGACTCTAAAGGAAAAATAACATCATCTGGTTCCCGGGTAAAAACAGGTCCAAATTCTTCAGTATCTGTGAGAGGGGGGAAAAAAACAACATAAAAAACAGACAAGTAGAGGATGATTGTGAGATTCACAACAGGAGTGCCACTCAGTTTTACAGTCCAACTACCCTGAAATTACCAAGAGAAGAAGATGTACAGCATCATACTGTGATTCAATTACAAACAACTAAATGAGATTCAGAATCAGTCAACATAATGTTTTTTTTTCTTTGAACAAGAATGAGATAAACTATTAGGTGTCAAGTGAACCTCTGAGACCAGAGTTAATCCTGATGAAAATGATTCACAGGCTGAAGAAATGTAAGGTAAAAGACCAGACTTTTGGTATTTTAACATTCAATCAAGTTTTCACCAAGTTACATTTACAGCTTTGGGCTCTCTGTGGTTTGCCTGAAAGGCTAAGTGACTCAAGTGAGATAAGTGAGATCCAGTAATAAGTCCAGACCACATTTGGGAGTGCGGTGCATAATTATACAACCGTTATCTTTTCTGCTCACTTCCTGTTTTGGTCTGGTTTCACATTTCATTTCACAAAACTTATGATAAAACATATTAAAACCCTGGAGAGTAAGATTCTATTGTTTACTAGTTTTTGTCATTGACATTTTTAAATTTTATTTAACCATCCCACTGAGATCCCATACATACTTTTTTTTTAAATTCTACACATTAAAAGCATAATCACTAATAAGCCATTCACATAAACCATCTAATTGTTATAGTATGATTGTAATTCTTTGATCAAATGACATTAAGCAATTTCTGTAGCGAACAATTGACATTTAGGAAACAAAACACTGCATTTAAAACAATTTTTGCTTTTAAAAATGATTAGTCCCATGTTTTTATCTTGTATATCCCCTGAAGTACAACAGACATATTTTTAAATATTGTATTAACTGAATTAAAATGTTATTCTTTAGGTTAGTTAATCACTATTTTCCTAATATTCCATTTCAAGCTTAAGAACCTTCTTCCAGTGAACATAAACTAGATCTGTGTTATTTCTGTCAATTAAAAATTATGAGAAAGATTACATCACATGTATCTTTGGGAAGTTTTGAATGTATAAAACAATTTAAAATATATGTTTAAAGGACATCTTGATTTTATTAACAATATCCAACAAACAGAAATTGAATTATCGAACAGACTGCAATTGTAAGCTGATTATCAGCATGATTATGAAAAATGAACAAGAACATGCACACTGAGCACAGAGAATATTAAACAATGCTGCAGAGAAATCAATATGAAACATAATGGATCTTCTGAAAGCTTGACTTATGCACGCATACAAACCATAAAATTAAGAAAAAAATCAGTTCAGTTTGGATGAATGTGTCCTTACATCCATGATTTTGTTTTGGACTTGTGTTTCTGCTTGTCAGTATAAAGCTGCTAATCACTCCTGTTTCTGCAGAGAACTCCTAGTAGGACAAAGCAACAGTTTAAATAAATAATTAATTAATTCATTTTATTTATTTATTTAGGTTTTGGGTCGTTTCCTCAGAATTTCAATATAAAAAATATTTTGTTCTTTTTAAAAACTGTTTCTGTATAATATAATGGATTTGTAGAGATGGTTAGACCAATAAACAGACTCTGTATACATTGATGATATGATGCATCCTGTTTGTTGAAGCGTAAATGCACAGACCGTTTTGATTTGGTCGGCTTTCCTTTTCATCTGAGACGTCTAAATAAAACTGTGCAAGTCACTCAATCCTGAGCACTCTGCAGCATTTAGAAAGGCTCTAATGTCAGCGTCAGAGTCAAGGCTTTTCTCACAGTGTGTATACAAATGCACCAACCCTTTGTCACATTTCATCGCTCTGCAGGGAAATAAAAGGCTTTTGAAGTAATATTCTAATCACTGGAGGAAAATTAATCAATATTAGAACAAAAATCATGCTGTGCAGAAATAACACAGCAACCCAGTGCCTTAGGTAACCGTGCTAAATATAAATTAGAAAACGCTTATTTAAATGATCTACATAATGTTTTCATGTTTTCTGTGTAAACACTCATAAACATGTAACAGTATTACGTATCCAACAGTATTACGGTTGGATTTGGGAATGGTTTGTGAAGAATTACTACACTTTATATTTAAAATACAACTATTTGAATTAGAAAAATGTGTTTTGTAACAACAACATTTGCTCTGCAGTTGCATCAACAGGGACATTTGCTGCATGTGTTTATATTTATATAAAGACATTAAAGGTTTTGAAAAAAAATACTGAATGAAAATTTGCCTGTCCAATATATATA